ACAGTAAAAAATCATTTCTATGCAAATCTGTCCCAAGATAACGCCTTTCATGAATGTCATTAGTTGTTCTATCATGGCTACTTCAGTGATACAAATTGACTTTCAGGTTCATTTTGACTTTGAAGAAAAACCAGAAGTCACATAGCCCCAGATCTGGTAAATAAGGTGAATGACATACACTGTTTTTATTTGACAGAAATTTTCTTAAACATAAACTGCACACTGCTTCAGAAAATGACAAGAATGATGGGATACATATGCTCAACATGAAAAAGAATATTTTAAGGGATGATGGCAGTGTGTCTTTTACTGTAATAAATTTTAAGACATTTTAAACAGCCCACATATTTTTAATCACACTATATATAACATGGGCTTAAAAAGCTGGCTTTGACATTGACAATACATTGCTATTCAAACAAACTTAAGAAATTTAAGAACAGTAAATATTTCAAAATCCCATCATAACTATATAAAGACACATATGTATGCAGTATTAACTGCCATGCACGCATACAAATACACCAAATAATAACTTTATCATTAATTGTGCTTATTTGGAGGGAGACGCTGATTATCATATTAATTCTCACGATGAATATGTATTTTAAGAAAAAAAACTGTGGAGTTTTTTTTTTTTTTTTTAAAAGAACTGTCTCTAAATTGCCTTTCCATCATGCTAGTCCGTTTCTACCCAACTGGGCAAGTGGCCTTGCTAATTCAAAGTGTTTTCTTGGGAGCAGCAACAGAAGCGCCCCCTAGGAAGCTGGACCCAATGGTTCTCCGCATCCGCTTCCCCAGTGAATCAGAATCTGCATTGTGACAATGTCTGTAGGTGACTGTGACCCCATTAAAGTCTGGGCAGCTGGAGGTGAAGAAAGACTCCCTCCTCTACCTGGACCTCAGTCTCTTCCCAACTCAAGAGGCTTGTGGCCAGGTGTCTCTATGGTCTCTCCCAGTTGCAACCTTCTAAAGTTATTTCTTTCAGTTATTTGTCCAAGTCCTTGTAAAAAGGCAGGCAGCCCAGCAGACCGAAGAATGAAAGTGGTCTGGTGGAATAGGCGTTGTGCCTGCAGCTGGACGCCGGAGGGCACTGTCGCAGCCTCATGGAGCAACTTAGGAGGGGGAATTCCAGGAGTATGGGGAGGCTACGTGAGATTCCTGTGCTAGGGCAGGTGAGTGCCTGTCCTCTTCATAAAGAGTGGACGGCTGGGGCGGTAACACCTGTAGGGGAATGGGGGAAAAAGAAGCAGCAAGACATACCACGTACCGGTACAAATTCCCTATCATGAGTGTTATCACTATAATATTTATATCTAAAATATAAATGTACCAATTTAAAAAAGTAATACCAGTAGGGCGGCAAGGTGCTTTTGGATGATGCCACGGGGACCCAGCAGGACTGCAGGGTGCAGGTTGACCGCAGGGCGGCAGCAAGCGCGCGTGATGCCACAGAAGGCGCAGCCCCGGCCCTGCTGGAGTGCAGAGCTGCCTCGGGACGGCAGGGGGCGCTGCGGAGCCGTGGCCCACGCGGGAGAGCTGCAGGTCCAGGCGGCGTGGGACACACCTGAGCAGGTAGGGGCGGGACCTGGGGGGGGGCAGGTTCCCAGGGGGCGGAGCCCAGGTCGGGACCACAAGAGCCGGTGGCCTTGCCGCAGGGAGATGCTTGTGTTGTGAGAGGAGCAGGAGTGGACCCGGATCGTGAACACGCGAGCCCAGACCTTCGCAACTGAAAGGTGAGCCCGGCTGGGGAGGATCGGACCAGACGGCTGCCAGGCGCCCTGGCTTCCCAGAGCGGGTCGCGCGCCATTGCTGCTTCCAAGTGGCCGGGATGCTGGGACGCTTTCCAGGCGCGGTCGGGTTCAGCTCTCCACCTGCGCTGTGGGCCGGAGCACAAGCTGGGCGCAAGGCTGCCCTGAGCTGCTCCTCTGTGCCCGGCGCCCTTGCTGGCACTGCTGAAGCGCACGGCTTGACCGCGCCATGCAGTCTGGAACGCTTTGGGGGAGACCGCGGCTGCAGAAAGAAACAAACACTTGAAGCGGGCTGGTTGGTCTCTCCTCCCGGAGGCTCTGGGGCGCCCAGTCGCTGCCCTCTGGGTGGCCAAGGGCTTGGGTTTCTCCCAGCATGAGCCTGAGCTCCGCAGCGGAGCCTGAGGCTTCAGTGATTTCTGCACAGCGCGACCTCAGGGCCGCGCATCGGGACTCCCGAGTCCACGCTCGGCGGCGCACCCTGCCCCAGACCTAGGGCAAATCTTTCATCTCTCCACAAGCTCTGCGTGCCTTCACTGTGGAACAGGGAATACGCACGGTCGGGGCAGGGAAGCAGGGTGTCATAGAGAGCCCCAGAGCTCCGAGGCAGAAGCTTTTGAACCCTTCTTACTCTCAGGCTTGGGTAATTACCTAACCCTCTACTCCTCAGTTTGCTCTTCTGCGACAGTATAAAATCTGTTCTGAGCATCAAATTAGGGAATGTGTAAAAACAAAACCGACAGGATCCTAGACATGGATCCTTTGATCAATTAATAATAGCTGTTATTAATGCTGCTGTGGTTAGGGTCACTATCACTGTATGAAGAGCAGCATATATAACTAGCAGATAAAAGTGCCAAATCTCAGCTTGGTCGCTTCTACTGTGTCCTTCGACAAGCTGCTTATCTTTTCAGAATCGCTGTTTCATCTGTAGAAGGGGCAGATTATGGTGTCTATCTCGAAAGACTGCAGTGAGAATTAAATGAGGCAATGCCTACAAAGTGCTTACAAGAGTTAGTGCTCTGTGTTCTGATACTAATTCTATTTTGCTGTTGTTGTTGTTGTTGTTAATTCTTCCACAAAGGCGTGATATTGAATCAGGTGGCAGAACCTAGTAGTAGCTACAACCTTGTTCTGCTTTGAAGTTGAAGTGTTCTCCCTATGAACATCTCCAGGGCTCCTCTGACTCCCCTAGCTGGCCACTTGGATGTGGGTCAGTTCTGGGGAAGGGACAACAGACGGAGGGAATTTGTCTTTAGTGAGAAGACTGAGAATTGGACAAGGGATTCCAGAAACATGCTTCGGGGAAACATTCCTAGAGGAGGAAACCTTCCCTGGGCTGCAGTTTATTTGACAAGAAATCAAAGCTAGACCAACAACAAAAAAGAAAGTGAAAAAAACAACCCTCTTTTTTGCACGGGGGTGGGGGTGGGGAGGGAGGGATTATTTTAAAGGAAGCAATGGAGATGAGCAGTATTTAAAATGATGAAATAAAACAAATTGCATTCCTCTTGCCAAAGGGTTAATTGCATAATTCTGAGGGTCGGAGATGATTTTCTTCATCCTATCAAAATAAGCCATAGATGTCTGGTGAATTCACAGCAGTTTGGCTGCCTCTGGACATCTCACTCTACCTTCTCCCTAATACTCTGTTTTATTTGTCACAAACTCACTGGTGCCATAAATTTAAAAGACTTCCAGTATCATCCCAGCTCCCAATTTTGGGCCACATCCCATGGGCTTAGGATGGAGAAAAACTAATTCCACAGATCCAGAATCCTGCTGAAAGACCTTGATGAGCACACCGTCAGGTCTTTGTAGCAAAGGGCCTGGGGGCTGCTCTGGATCCCCCACTCCTACAGAGATGTCCTAGATTTCCTTTGTCAGTGTGGAAGACATAAAGGACAGAGTCTACATATATCCCAGCTGCCAGTACTAGAGAGTACAAGTCTTAGGAGGTAATCGCCTTCACTATCTAATGTTCAGAAATCAAATAGGATAAGATCCCTCCTCTTTCTTCCTAAACTTAATCCTGGGTTCTCCTAATTAACTGCAAGAGGGCAAACGTGTCAGCACAAGCCCATTAATGATCTCTTCAAGGACATGTACCATGGTGGCCATGGCTGCAAGATTCCAGTACAGCTCCCCCACAAACTGTCTGTGTGCTCTTACATAGGTCACTCTACCTCTCTAAGTATATTTTCTTCCTCTGTAACAAGGACATAGTAAGACTGTGCCTACATTGTGGAATTTTTGAAACACAAAATTAAATATATGTAGAGTAGGCATAATTTATATAGCGAACATTGAGATTGATGCATGTATTTGAGACAGATGAGACCATATATTATAAACATGAGTCTACACACACACACACACACACACACACACACACACACACATATAGTACAGTATTACTTTATTTCTAAAGTGAAGTTTATTTCACACTGCAAAGTTTCTGTAACCGAGGTACAGCCTGTACATTGATGGACGTGGTAATTTGTTTCCTAATAGTTTCCCCAAGAGTTGTTATTTAATCAAGGTGTGTTCTCCAAATTTATCTTATCTTAAAATCAAGAAAATAGGGCATAACTTGGCAAATATCGAGCAGCCACACTCTTAGGATATTGTTACATCAGGTGCTCAAGAAGCACTAAGAACTTGACCAGAAAGCGAAAAGCGAAAGAGAAATTATTTCACTTGGAAGAAAACAGCATAGAGAAGGGCTAGAGATAATACAGCTGGGAACCTGATCTCACGGTGCTACTGGGAAATTTTCTTGGCAGATTTCAAACCAGCGACACCTAGCTGAGCACGTACTCTGTGCCAGACATTGAACTAGGCATCAGGAGGCGTAAGGAGTTAGAAATGGTGCCCTCAGGGAGGCAGCCAATGGCAGAGATAAGGCACTAGTACCAGTGCCCCTGGCTGGTGGGAAGTGCTGATCAGGTCACTCGGAGGGCTCCTTGTCCCAGGAGCCCAGGAAAAAGTCCTTCAGCCAGTCCAGTCAGTCTTCACAAGTTGTACCTCACCCCACCCCCACGAGGGTAGGCCTGGGGGGTGGAAAGAAGAGTAAGCAGCCTACCTTGCTGGCAGCTGTGGTGGCCAAAAACAAATATCCTGGAGAAAGGGCCAAGGCCTCTGAATGCAACCTGGCTAGCTCTAGGGAAAAGAGGAAGGAGGCCTCACCTTACCTGCTTTTCTCTTCCATTCCTCCAGCACACCACCTGTCTGCAAAGCTCCACCTTGGCCATGGCTCCCGGAGAGAAGATCAAAGCCAAAATCAAGAAGAATCTTCCTGTGAGAGGCCCACAGGCACCCACCATTAAAGACCTGATGCATTGGTACTGCATGAACACCAACACCCACGGGTGCCGCCGCATCGTGGTGTCCCGTGGCCGCCTCCGGCGCCTCCTCTGGATCCTGTTCACACTGACTGCAGTGGCCCTCATTATCTGGCAGTGTGCCCTCCTCATTGCCTCCTTCTATACTGTCTCTGTCTCCGTCAAAGTCCACTTCCAGAAGTTAGATTTTCCTGCTGTCACCCTCTGCAACATCAACCCCTACAAGTAAGAGACAGGGGCAGAGACCTAGGGACCCGGGAGGAGGAACCATGCTTTCCCTGGATGTCAAAGACCCTCTGTGAAACAAACAGCCTGGGAGCCCATGCCAGCCTGCAGAAGGGAAAAAACAGAGGAGAAAGATTATCAAGGGGAGCTAATTTGTCCCAAGTCATCAATGAGTTGGTATTAGAAATCAGCATTTTAGAAATTTGAATTCATTGCCAACATTGGTGAATTGCCCTCTCTCAGGCTTCATATTCATATCAAGTTTTCGGTCAATCAGCTGCTTCTCAGGATGGGCTAGCTCAGGAAAGGCAGGGGAGGCCACGGGGCAAGGTTTGCTGGGAGGCTGGGTTGGAATCTGCCCATACTCTCTGCCCTTCACAGATGCTCACACTAAGCCTAGCTCCGCCATTACTGCCATCTTTCCAAGCTCACACCTTCACACTCCCCAGAACATGAGCTCTAGGTGACTCAGAAATGATACTCAGGTGACTTCCGGAAGCATCCCCACATTCTGAATTCTCATCTGAGTCAGCCTAGCCCCACTAATTGAGATCACTGGGCTCTGGACTGGACCAACCCTTGGTGCTACCCTATTTACAGTTAGTTGTAAGACCTGTTCTAAATGGGTCATCAGAGTCTTCAGAACTTGGAAAACGGATTGGGGAGGAAGGTCAGATTTCAGCAGAATTTGTCAGAGCAGGCCTGAGGGCAAGGAGAACAGAAGAGCAGGAGGAGGAAGATTATCTAGAGAAGCCAGTTTGTCCCATCAATGAGTTGGTGCCAAAGCTCAAAATCAAAATCAGGTTTAAGACTCATTCTCTAACTTCTGAAGCCTTTCGTTTCTTTCTCCCTTCTTCCTTTCATCCTTCATTTACCTATTATTTGTTCCACAATCATTTACTCAGCATCTATAAATTTTCATAAACTGTGGTAGGTTCTGGAACTTACAACTCAACAGCCCAAACACATTCTTTACTCTAATAGTCTTAAATTACAGCGGGAGAATAAACTAATAACAGAATTACACTACTGTAATAGATAATAGTGACCGTTTAATTACCTGTTATGCACAGGGCTGTGGAACTTTCCCAATAACCTGAGGATGCTGAGACACAAAAAGCTGAGTGGCTCATTCAAGGTCCCACAGCCAGAACCAGGAAGCAAAATGCAAACTCAGGCAGTTAGTTTCCAAAACTTAGACCCTCAGTCTCTGTCCTGTGTCACCTATCCAGGGAGCAAAGAGGAGAGAAGTGTGGGGAGCGACAGGGAGGAGCTCGGGATCATTTGGTATGAATTTTTTTTAAATGGTGTCAATATGCTTCATTCAGCCAACTCTGTACTATTCTTATATGTTCTTTTGTTGTTGGTGGTGTTGGTGGTGGCAGTGGTGTCTTTTTTGTTGCTGTAGTTCTTGTTTTTGGTTTTTTTGAGACAGAATCTCATTATGTAATTCAGACTGGCCTCAAATTCACTGTAAAGCCTACACTGACCTCAAACTCACAGCAGTGATCGTCCTGTCTCAGCCTTCCAGAGTGCTGGGATTACAGGTGTACACTACCACACCCGGCCTCTTACATGTTCTTAGATGGTGTCAAGGGAATAGCTATTTATTCATTCATCCCAGGACTGATTGGTGCACACCTTACACACAGAAGCAGAATGTGCTGGACAGAGATGGACCATATCCCCAGGGACACTGTTGGTTAGCAGTTATTTCCTTGTTCTGTCAGCAGCTGGTTTACAGGAACGATATGACAGTTACTACTCCAGAAAGGCCTGCTCCTCTTGGTCAAGAAGGACGGCAATGAGCACCCAGCTGACACACTTGATGGAAAACAAATGTGAAGAATTGGCAACATTTTCCCAGAGCAGTCTCACCTCTCTATAACGCTTCCCTCCCTCATTGGCAGGTATAGTGTTGTACGTGACCTTCTGGCCGACTTGGATAGGGAGACCAGAAAGGCTTTGAAGACGCTGTTTGGCTTTTCAGAGGTTACGTCTCGCAAACGCCGTGACACCGAGTCTGAAAATCCAGCCCAGAAAGGTATTCAGCCCAAGTTCCTCAACACGATCCCACTGCTGGCCTTCAATGAGAATGAGAAGGGCAAGGCCAGGGATTTCTTCACTGGCAAGAAGCGGAAAGTCAGTGGGAACATCATTCACAAGAGTTCCGATGTCATGCAAGTCCACAAGTCTAAAGAAACAGTGGGATTCCAACTGGTAAGTTTCACTTCCTTGTACATTAGGAGCATGGGATGGGCTGGAAGTGGTGCCCGAGGTCTCTTCTCCTTGGCTATTTACTCCTGTGGACTGCCTGGAAGAAATACACCCAGTTAGGAGCAATTCAGCTACAATCAATCAAAACCTACTGAGCAAACTTTAAACTTGGGGAAAATGTCATTGGAGCTGACCAGTAGCTTAGAGAAACTACTCAGAGGACAAAAGTAAGGAAAGACCTAGGATCTAGGTGGCAAGAAATGGTGGAATCTTTTAAGATAGTGCTGCTGGATGAAAGGATCTGTTTCAGTCTTTTTGTTAATGGTTATACCAGGCATGGTGGCACACAACTATAATGCTTTAGAGGCTGAGGCAGGAAGATTGCCATGAGTCAGAGCTCAACCTCCAACAGTGGAGCTCTGGGCTCCATTGTGAGTTCAAGGCAAGCTTGAACTACATAGCAAGTTGACTTTGTCTCGAGAAAAGATTCAAATTCCATCTTGGGACTGTCTGGTTGGCAAAGCTCAGGGACCTGATGACTCCTTGGCTTATGAAAAGCTAGACATTATCATAGAAAATATCACCAGACTATATCCAAACAGTAAAAGATAATTCCCCCAACCTAATTAGGGTTGCAGACATTGGAAAGAAGAAATAAATAATCCACAGTGAGAACATCAGTGTTCTTTGCTTTCAATAGATGCTGCAGGCTGACTATCTCCACTTGTCATCCCATTTCAGGGGCTCTTAGAAAAGCAGCCATTTATTAAAAACGACTTCTGTTATCCCCCTGGATAAACTGTCACCACTATGCCTCTTCATGCCCCATCTTCCTCTAGAGGATCAGAGCTACTTCTATAGCTCACAATTATGATGGCCGTAAGTCACAAAATGTCTATTAGTCACAAATCCTAAAAGATGCACCTCCTCAAAATCATTAGAATTCAGAGTCTTCCGAGGTCCATGATATCAAAATTAATTTTTAATGTCTGTACATTCAGGGCAGTTTCTAAGCCCTGGGAAATGAGAACATCTGGAATGTATCACAGTTTCCTTGTAAAGCCCTCATTATTATGTACTCCAAATGTGCATCCTGCCAATGGCTGCGTGTTACTGGTTAAGATGATACTTCAGTTCATGTTTTTTAAGTGACTAATGGACACATACATAATAACCTGCTCAAAATCCTGCAAAGAAGTAGTGACTGAGTCTGGGCTGGAATCCAGATTTCTAGACTATTTATGTAACAGGAAAAGAGGGTGATTGGATAGGAACTGCATGGCACTAAATCTGTTTGGAGACCCTGAAGAAGCCAGTTTTGTGTGTCACCTTGCTTGTGGTAGACAATACCACAGGAAGGAGTCATAGCAGTGAGACTCTGTCCCTTGTTCGGATCCCTTTTCTCCTCAAGACTTGAGGAGAACCTCTCCCAGGCTCTAAAGTAAAAGGAAACTTACCTTTGCTATAGATTTCCTTCCTGCTCCTCTGCATTCCTGGGCTGAAGTCTCAAATTATTCCTCCTTTCAGTCCTGAAGGATAAGGCTGAGACTGCGAGTTTCAGCCTGGTGTCTCCTCTTGTTCACAGTGTCCCTCCAATGATACCACCAACTGTGCCACTTACACCTTCAGCTCAGGCGTCAATGCCATCCAGGAGTGGTACAAGCTGCACTACATGAACATCATGGCTCAGGTGCCTCTGGAGAAGAAAATCAACATGAGCTATTCTGCGGAGGAGCTGGTGGTCACCTGTTTCTTTGACGGGATGTCCTGCGATGCCAGGTTAGGAGGGGCAGGCTATGCTCTCAGCTTCTGAGGACTGGCAGCTTGAAGTCCAGGATCAGTGCAGGCACCTGCAGCTCACCTGTAGGTCTTGGGGGCAGAAGGTGCTCTTCTTGCTCTCTGCTTTCTGGAAAACCAAATCCATGGAAGTTAGTCGAGGGTTAGTATAAATTACATAGAGTATAAACTACTACATCTTCAAGCTCATTAAGTTACTTATCAGGATGCAGAGTAATTGGTAGTGTGCATTAAACCTACCTCTACGATGCACATCATTGGTGGAAGACTACTATGCTGGAACAAAGGAAGGAAGAAAGAAAGGGAGGGAGGATGGGAAGAAAAAAAGCCCCATGTCCATTATGTGAGTCTCAGACTTTTCTATCTTTAAGAGAGCCCTCAGTCCTGGTGGTGACTGGGCAGTGGATGGGACATTTTAAGAGAATCCTGCTTTTCTGGAGGGCTTATTTTGTTCTTTTCAAATACTAATCCTTAATTACCTGTCTATGTGTTAGTAGATGTATTTATTTGCAAAAACTGAGTGAGGAAATGATGTCCCCTGGAAACTTGGGTTCCAAAAGTCACATAAGGTCACAGATGAAGGAATTCTTCTGAGGATCATAAGACTGGCAATTTGAATTTTAAAAGTGTTAAGTGCTGGCTGAGACATTGAAGAGTAGAAGAATTTGGAGGCAGACATGGGGCAGACTAAGGGGATTAAGAGGGAGCACATAAAGCATAGTCTAATTCTGCGTCAATGCTTGTCAACCTGACTGGCAGGTTTTGTTTGCTATTCTATCAGAGGAAAAATAGGGAAAGTGAGTCATGCCTGTCACTCATTGTCCCAAAAGAGAGTTGGGCCCGTGAACGTTGCCCTTCTAGACTTCAGCTGAAATGAGAAAGGGTGTGCCCAGCCCAGCCCTTCTGACCCAAGTCCTTCCCTATTAGGAACTTCACGCTTTTCCACCATCCCATGTACGGAAATTGCTACACGTTCAACAACAGAGAGAATGAGACCACGCTCAGCACCTCCATGGGGGGCAGTGAGTACGGTAAGGAAACCCACACTGAGAGAAACCAAGATTCTCTAACAGTGAGCACGGTGGCAGCAGGCCAGTTGAGGATGCTTAGGTTTTCAGAAATAGTCCTACCCAGAGCCATGCTTGTCATCCCAGCTGTTTGGGAGGTTGAGGCAAAATGGTCGCAAGGTCGAGTCCTGCCTGAGGAATTTAGCAAGACTGTTTCTAAATAAAAATGAAAAGGGCTGAGGGGATGTAGTTCAGTGTAAAGGCTCTGGGTTCAGTCCTCCAGTCCCGAGGGTGGCGGGGAGCAAGACATGCAAATCTCTTCCCTTGGCCCCAAACCAGAAACTTACCTTCTTGGTTCTTTTCTTTCGGATGAGTGTCTTCTGTTCCCTTTTTGACTTTTCTTCTTTACATTTGAGAGCCTCAGGGACATCACTGGGCTCCTTCCTGCCGAAAAACCACCTTAGTTTAAGCTTGTTGCTGGACTGAGTAATGCTGAGCAGGTGGCTTCTAACCAGAGTTAAACCCACATGTGCTGAATAGGAGCTTAGGGAAGTAGACACACCTTTGCCTTAGTTAAGATGACAGATTCTGGAGGCAAAAAACCCAGATCTGCCCTTGCTATGTGACCTTGGGCAAGTTCCTGCCCTGCATCTTTAAAGTGAGAGTGACAATATCGCCCATAAAGGTTACTGAGAAGACTTACATACTCAGACCATTTAGAGCAGAGGTGGCGAGCCTATGGCACATATTTCTTTTCTAAAAAAAAAAAAATGTTAATATGTGAGTTCCTTTTTCTAAACTAAACCTAAGCATTCAGGTGTGATTGCAGGATTGGCACTTCGTGATAAATAAGTGGGTCTAAGGTTGCACTTTGAATACTCAGTCTCTAAAAAGTTCACTGTTGCTGACTTAGAGTAAGACCTGGTGTTCACTCTGTTAGTATGCACAGGTCACCATAACAAAATCCCATATCCTGGGTGGCTTAAACAAGAGACACTTATGTCTTACAGTTCCGGAGCCTGGGAAGTTCTAGACCAAGCTGCTGGCAAATTTGGTTGCAGATGGCTATCTTCTCTCTGTGTCCTCCCATGGCCTTTTCTCTATTGCAAGTAGAAAAAGTATGCTGTGATGTCTCTCTCCTTATGACACCAGTCATAACAAATTAGAGCCCCACTCTTGAGATCCCTTTAACATTAATTAGGACCCTTTCTCTAAATGCCATCATACTAGTGCTTTAACATCTGAATGGGGGCACAATTCAGCCATACACACATGATGCAGAGAATAAATGCTAATTGTCATTACTACTATTACTGCCATTGCTGGCCCTGCTACTCATCATTTAGCATTGCTGCTGCTGCTGGCACCACCAGTATCACTCCTGTTCCAGAACTATTATCACCACTGCTCTAATCCTGCTTTTGTAGGGAAGGTAGGAACTTAACAGGTTGGCCTGGCTTACTCACAAAAGGAATGTCGAAAGATCTTATGCAAGCTGAAAATGATTTGATATATAGAGATGCTCCCACCAGGAAAGGCAAGGCTCTGCCATTGCTGGATCCATGGGTGGAATCCTGGACCTTGTTGCTATACAGCCTATCTTCCTCCCAAGACGGCAAGAAACCATAATTCAGTGTATACTTCAGTGGGAAAAGCTGTTCAGGAATGAAAAGTGAAGAGATACAGAGTTCTGGCTTTGCTACGTGGACCTGTATATCCTTCACTAAATCACTATCTCCCTCTGAGTTTCAGTTCCCTTGTTTACAAGGTGAGAATATCAGAATAGCACTTAAGTTCTGACTGAAGCCAGGGATGCTCTACCACTGACTTATTCCTCTAGCCCTTTTTATTTTATTTTGAGGCAGGTTCTCATTGTTTCCTGGCTGGGCTTCAACTTGTAACCCTCTTGCCTCAGCCTCTCTAGCAGCTGAGATTACCATCATGCACCACCACACCTAGTCTACAAAACATGTATTGAGTATCTGCTGTGTGCTAGGACAAACCAGTGAACAAGACAGATGCCGTCTCTGCTTTTAGAGAGCTTATACTTCAGTTCCACATTTAAGTGAAAAAACACATACTGTACATTGCCATGATCTAATTACAAGTCCTCATGGATTATGAGGAGGGGAAGCAGCAAAGAGGAGGGAGAAGCAGCCAGGGCCAGGATGGGGTTTGAGTTGGGATAAGATGATTCAGAAAGACTTCATTGAAGGGGCTACATAAGGGTGAGGCAACCCGTGTTATGAGCCACACAAGAGCACTGTAAGGCCTTGAAAATACAAAGGCATCAAGAATAAATGAATATGCTGTATTCTAGAAACGGGAATAAGGCCAGTGTGCTTGGCCTGAGAGAGGGATGAGGAAAGTCACAGAAAATAGAAGAGAGTCTGGGATGGGCTGCATCATCCAGGTCTTGACAGTTGTAGCCAGATTGACTCCATCCTGCTCTCTACATCCAGCAGAATAACACTGAAGGGTCCAGGCCAGGAAGTGCTCAATTTCATTTCCAGTCTTCAAAGGTTCTTCTGGCTGCTGGATGCAGAACAGATTGCAGAGAGCAAGAGGAGGGACAGGAGAGAAGTGAGACTAGGGCCCAGATACACCATAAGAGGTTTATTTCCTCTCTGAAACTTTAAGCACCAACAGCACCTGAAGTTATTGTGGAGGCTCAGACAAACTCCCTGTCTCAAAAGATTTGGCAGAGTACCAGTTCCATTATTTTTAGCAAGAACTTTGACTGTGATGCTATGTTTGGGCCCCTACTTTGGACTAAGCCGTGGGGCACAGCCAGACGTAACTCCTATCCTCATGAAACTTTCTGGAATCCCACCTTTCACTTGTTAGAAATGGTTGTGCCTTGGGTTTCAGCGTCCCAGAGAACTTTGACCACATGGGCTGCCTTATCTTCCAGGGCTACAAGTCATCTTGTTCATAGATGAAGAGGAATACAACCCCTTCCTGGTGTCCTCCACTGGGGCTAAGGTGCTTATTCACCAGCAGAATGAATATCCCTTCATTGAAGACGTGGGAACAGAGATTGAGACTGCAATGTCCACTTCCATAGGAATGCACCTGGTAAGCGAACGTTCTCATTTTGTAGGTTTGGCTAAGAGGATGGATTTGGGGAGGGTTTTGTTTGTTTGTTTGTTTTTGTTTTTCAAGAATATCCAATGAGGTCTAGCTCAAAAGAAGGATGTTTCAAAAAGAACAAGGTTCTGTATTTTCCAATGGTTCCTCAATGGCCTTGCCAGTAGTTATATTAAAGGTTATATTTGTATCTTCTGATGAATGAACAAAGGTAAGATACCATTTGGGGAAAAAATTTTAAAGCAATATTACTTATTCACACACACACAAAAAGACAATAGCATTTATGGAACTATGATGGAAGCAAAGCATCAATTATATATTTGTCAATAATAAAAGAGAGAAGATTAACACCTGTATTCCTGGCATGCCCAGAAGCCTATGGAGGCATGTGAACAGCTAAGGTTAATGGGAAGTCACTGGTTCTCAAAGGTCTTTGTGGTTAATCAAGGTTCCATCAATTTTACATTTATCAAGAATCCTTTCTCCTTCAGCCTTTGCAATTTCTCTGACCTCATTCAATGCTGAAAACATTCAAACTTACTAGTAGAAGCACATCTAGGCTGCAGACTCCAATCAGCATTATTGATTGCTCAACTTTCAATCTTTGCTAATCTTTCAAGAAAAAAATACTGTCTATTATATTTTTACTTCACATTTCTTCTTAGTGGCTTTATAAAAACCTATCTGTGGCTCTGTCTGTCTTTGTGAGATTATTTGCCTTTACTTTCATCCAAACTTAATGTCCTCTCTTAAACTTCCTACCCTTCATCCCTCACCAACTTGGCTCCAGAAGTGTGGTTTCCAAACCTCCTTGGTCATCAAATTCAGTTCTATAAAACCAGAATCTCTAGGGCATGAGCCCAATCTTCCATATTTTTACCTGTCTCAGTGATTATTGGAAGAGGCAACGCATTGAGGAAATTTGGCTAGAGTGCCTCATGCTGCCCCATGGAAAGGGCAGTTGGGGACAAAGGGAGCCATCAGGCTGGTTGTCTGGTATTGCAGGCGCTTGGAGGTTTAAGAGCTCTGTTTTCAACATGAGAGAGAAGTAATGTGTACAATCCTGGACTGTGTGCATGTGGAATGTGGAAGCGCCTCAACCTGCTCAAACAGGGGCTTCCAGAAACCTGAGGACACCACTTCTGGAGCTGAGTCTCTGCTTTTTCTCTTGCTGAGAGATCATGGAGCTGTCAAAGACAATAGTGAAGGTTTTGATCAGTTTCCCTGCGTCCCATGCTGAAGCAGGTCCTGGGCTTTGCACCACATCCTTCTCTCCTGCTGTCCCCTTCTCCCTGTGTCTGCCTCTCACAGCATCTGCAAAGTGGGCAGAGAGAAACTGGAAAAGTATAAAAAGGAATGAATTGCGCCCTCTTAGTTTTTGCTCTGAGGCTGGAAATAACCACCACATTGTTAAGCAATGTCCTCTTTATTAGTGGTGAGTAAACAAAACATGGGTGAGTTTTCTGCTACACATAATTTAAGATGTAGAAAATCAGCCCCGTACAGCAAGGTCAATCAACTCTAGGCCTGATTTATGAGCATTTAGAACAACAACAACCACAAAAACCCAGGAGGTGAGCAAGAGGTCACTAAGAATGAGTGCTGTTTGTCCTTCTTCATTTATTTATTTATTGACTACTTGTTTACTTACTTATTTACTTACTTCATTTGACTTAGTCTGTTAAGCAACTGGTTAGCTAACTTCCCTTATTTAATTGAGAAAGTTTCTTTCCAAAGCACCAAATATTCAAAGATAAACACATTAGAGCTACTTCAAAAATTTTACCTTTAAGAAGAAAAGACAAAATTAATATACCTTTGCAATATAATTCCTACCTCTGCAGAGGGAAGCACTTTACCTCTGCAGAGATAAAGTTCTTAGGCTTAGTTCTTAGAACATATCTAATACTCTGTAGGTCTTGGATGGATGCTAGATGAATGATAGATGGATTCATGGATAATTGGATAAATGGAGATAGAAACTATTGGAGAAGACTTCCTAAATAATGAATTACTTTGTTTTGTTTCATTTTATTTTGGTTTCTGAAACAGGGTTTCCCTAGGCAGCCTAGGCTGACCTCAAACCAGCTATGCAACCCGGGCTGGCCACAAACTTGTGACCCTTGCACCACCACACCCCAGTCTAAATGATGAATTCTCGAATGACAAATGTCTTGCAAATAACGTTAGGAAGGGCTTGTCCATGAAAATTGTAGCAATTACAGAAAGGTCACAGAAACTATATTAAGCCATCCTTTGAAAAATCACTTTGGTTGAAATGTAATCAATAACACTAGCTCATTTATAGTAATGCTAGAAAGAAACAATACAGATCTTTGTTGAGGCAAAGTGGGTATGAGTAGAAGGAAACAGATTTTACAGATGTTACTGTGTAGAAGCAACAGGATTTGACAACCAGTGTTAGCAAGAAGAGCCAGGGGAATTTAAGTGGATATTTAGGTCTTAGCTTGGGCAGGGGTGTGAATGAGTGTCAGGCTCAGAATTAAGGAATACAAGAAGAGGGGTATGCTTGAGAGAGAAGACGACCTCTTCAGTTCAGGACTTAACCATTTTGTTGTGCCTTTGAGAAAACAAGGTGAACCTAAAATGTCCAGTAAGTAGATGTTATGAACCTGGAGTTTAGAAGAAAATATAGGAGGTAATTCCAGGCTTAGAAATGAATGTCATCACCTAAGACCTGAAGCAGAACCCTAAATGTCTGAAAATATTTAGGGGCTGAAAAGAAAGAAAATGGAGAAACAGAGTCTGAGAGAAAGGAACAGAAGCCAGAAAGAGTTGGTGTCGGATAAATAAAGGACTTTCAAGGAAGGTGTGATCATAGTGCCAAATGCAGTTGAGAGGTCTAGCAAGATGAAGGGTGAACAATGTTCTCTGAGTATAATGACCAAGATGTCATTGGTGTTCTTTGCCATAATAATTAGGAAGATAAGGAGTGAAAAAGGGTAGGCCACTCACCCTGGGGGCTGGGGGGCCAAGTCACAGAGAAGGAGCAGCCTCTGTTGTGATTGCAAATCCTACTGGATTTTTTTTTTTTTTTATCTTAAGGCACATATGCAACTTCCTTTCACAGTTGTATGCATCAAAGGGACTAAGAGCTGGGAACTGGGGGCCAAACCCCAGCTTTGTACTTGGGTTATGCAAGTCAGGGTGCTAATAGCAGTAATGCTCTTTTGTGGCTGTGAAAGTTCATGTAATAAACACTCAAAAATTTACTGGCTATTACTCTACACTTTCTTAAGAAAAAAAAGATTTGGAGGGAATGGAAAATAAATTTGAAGCAAAAAAACAGAGGCTTAGGGAAGGTTGTTTTTATTTCCTTCTCTCTATTCTTTTTTTCTTCTTCAAACCAAGGACCTTGTGCATGCTAGACAAGCACTCAACCACTGAGCTACATTCTAAGCCCCTTGTCTTTTTTTATATTTCTTTCTTTTTTGAGTTAGAGAGAAACATAGTAATATGCATAAATTAAATATATGATGCCTATTTATATCATTATATAGTATGCTATTATATTATGCATAAGAAATTCAATGTGTGTGTGTGTGTGTGTGTGTGTGTGTGTGTGTGTGTGTGTGTGTAAAACAAATCATTTGCCATATGCTGAAATGATTTTCCAGTTTATATTTGCTAATTTTCTGTATGGCACTTTTTCCGCATGCAAAAACATTCATGTTTTACTTAGCCAAAGTCTTTGTTTCTCCTCCTGCTCTTTTTCTTCTTCCTGCCCTTCTTCTTTTTCCTCTTCTTCTTTTTTCTCCTCTTCCTCCTCCCTCCTCTCCTCTTCCTTCTTCCTCTCCTTCATCTTGTCCTTCTTCTTTTTCCTTTTCCTCATCCTCTCTTCTTCCTCCTTCTTTTCTCTATCTCTCTGTCTCTCTCTCTCATACTGGAAACTGAATCTGGGGCCTTTGTACTGAGTGATTTATTAACGCTTTTTTAAAAAGAATCTTTTTAAAAAAATTTGGAGTAGGTTTTTGCTAACTTACTATGTAGCCCGAGCTGGGTTCAAACTTGTTTTCTTCTTTAGTTGTTGTACTTCCTGAGGATTCCCCCTTTTTGAGATCAGATACTGAGTTTCTTCTAGTTCTCATATTACTCCACTTAATACTTTAACTCCTTAGATTGTTTAAGTATGTTATTTAAGAATGTTAAGTAAAGATTTATTTCTTTCTTGAAATAGTCAATAAATTGTCCTGACTATTTATATATGTAATTCTTTCTTTCCTAACATGACTAGGAATACAAACTTTATCATACATAAATGGTACTTATAGTGTATTACAAAATAAAAACAAAAGAAAAAAGAGTTAAGCCACCCATAAGCCCAAATGAATTAAGTAAGGGGTAGAACTTGAAAATTAAACTGAAGCTAGCTCTGGGACATTTCATAAGCTAGGCTTGTCTCCAGTTAGAATGGGGTAGTCACCGCATGTAAAATGGAAATCGTACCTGGACTAATTCTAAAACAAAAATAGGATGGAGGTTTATTACAGAGAACAAGTACAGCAGGCTGCCCTACTGGTAGAGTAGGATAGTAAAGGACAGCAAAGCTGACTCCTCCAAAGACAGTGGAGGGGTGTCAAATGCATGCCATAAATTATTAAAGGTTATTTCACGAAGAGGTGGAAACTTCTGGAAGAAAGAGAAGGGCTTTCGTGTACCCATGCCAATTTGCACACAGTTCACAATGTACTTAAAAATGTTTTACATTCTCCCCTCTGGGCAGAGATCTTACTATGGAAAAACACGATGATGAAGGCAAAATGAGTTTCCGGTTTGGTTCTCAGTCGGCTCTGTTACCACCTTACTTCACCTGTTTCTTCCAGTCTGTCCTCAGGTCCCACCTCCTTTTCTGAGAAATACAGTGGCTTGTTTGCTTGGATTGCAGCCTGATTTACTTTTCCCCTCTTATTGCCAAAACGTGTAGTTGCCTGCCTCTTTTCTCTCAGGCTGCTGCTTCCCAATCCTGCCCATCTTGGGCCGATGCATTTGGACTTGAATCACCAGGCAGTGACAAGCAGTGACAGGACCAGTTCCGTGATTCAGATGGCTAAGTGATGGGGACAGAGGAGATGCTGAGCAAGGGAAAGTGTGGGGGCAGCCAAGCACCAGGGACACTTTACTTTCAACACTCCCTGTGGCAAGAGAGGATCAGAGTCCAACTAGACAGTGAGCAAGAACCGTAAGAGCCAAGTGACTCAAGAAATGCTTCTCGGTGACGTTTTGATGACTAAGTGGCAGAAAAGAAGCTCTAGATTGATGATCAGCTTTCTAGAGAAGTAGACTCATATCATTAGCTAATGTGAGAAATACAGGAAATTGAGCAAGTTTTAGGTAAGTGAAGAAAATGCTGAGTTCAGTTATAGGTACTGTGTCAGTTTTTGCTGTATACAAACTACCTAAATCTCAATGGCTTCAAACAATCATTGATTAGCACACAGTCTTTGGTGCAGCCATGTGGCTGGACTCATCTGGGCAGCATCTTACCCAGAGAAAGGAGCCAGCATCTAGCTGCATTTCCAGCCTCACTGTCACTGTTGCTTTCCCCCAGCAGAAATAGCAGCCCATTTTGAGAAACAAGGGCAGGACCAGGTGACCAAAGGGAAGGAAAGGCCTCCACCTATACCCAGAGCCAGACCGGGTTTCCACTAGTCCCAGTTGCTCAGGGCACCATTCTGCCTGTTCACTGAGGTTAGCAGACATTTCAGCTGGTCCCCAGCAGCTGAGGGGAGCAGGAGTGTCTTTTTTGCAACGAGGAGAGCCTTATACTCAATTAAAAGTCTTACCCAGAAAAGAATACAGTGGAAACCAGGAAATGCAAGACTTTTCTTTGAGCCAGAGACACCCTCCTGCTTACGCTCAGCCCATTGTGACTGCCCTGAAAACCAAATGCAAAAGGAACACAGTTTGAGCCCCCTGGGCTACAGTGAGGCAGACTCTGAGAAGGTGATGTTGGTGGCTGCTGCTGGGACAGTGGTTACAATGGAAATGCAAAAGTGCTAATGGGGTGGCTGCCCTCTCTGGGTGAAAGAGTCCAGTTGAACTCACCTCCTCACACAGACTGGTTGGTAGGCCTTCATTTTATAAGAAAATAGGAGTTGGCTGTCCCACCTCAGAAGCCATGAAAGCTTGATAAGAGCCAACCCTTATCACTTGTACAACCTCCTTGCTCCTCAGGTTGTGCTGCTACCTGGGTTTTCCCCTGGGCATATTTTTTCTACCTTGAAAGAGAAGAGCTAAGGATCCTCATGCAACTGTCCCAGTCCCTGCCCCTAGATCCTCAAATGGAGGCAGATAGGACCAAGGTAATCAGTCAGAGTCCCTGCCCGCTTTGCCAGGCACACCTGGCTTGCCTGCCTGTCCAGACTCTGGTACCTGGATGGTACAGTGTTGTAGAGCCCATAGCAGACTCCAGGCTCTGTGGACAGTGTGGCAGGACTTAAGGCCCCAAGGAACATCTATCAGAGCTCAGAAGATTTCAGGGAATTGAGGTGCCCTGGAGGCACCATTATCAGCACCCTTATACCTCAGTTCCCAGCCCAGCTCTGGAGAGCCCTGGGACCTCTGAAAGCTACTAAGCCAGTTACTAAGTGAATTTGTTTTGTACTAAACTGGAGAGAAACTCACTCTTCATTGTGAGCGAGAAGAGCAGATTGCAGGGCAAGGTGAGTGTCTGTCTCTCTGAGATGAAAGACCTTCTATGCGATAAGTGGGTATCCTGAGGAAGAGGAAGAGGAGAGGCCAGCTGGCTACTTGCTCCTTTGTTTGCCTCTGTTATTTAAACATTTCAAACTAAGCATTGTCTGTTGCCCTTGAAGAACTTGTAGTTAACTGAGATTCTTGGGTCAGCAGCTGAATTACAATACAAACAGAATACAGCCACTTGAGAAGTCTAAACTATCTACCTAGCAAACTCCTTCATTCTTTTTTTCTCTCAAGAAAAACTTTCCTCCTCTTCTACAAACCTGCTGTCCTCTTACCCTTTACCCTTACTTGCTTTTCTCCTAAAAGTCAAAATAAAATAAAGCTCCCTCTCCCTCTCTCTCTCTCTGTCTCTCTCTCTCTGTCTCTCTCTCTCTCTGTCTCTCTCTCTCTGTCTCTCTCTCTCTCTGTCTCTCTCTGTCTCTCTCTGTCTCTCTTTCTCTCTCTCTCCCTGTTTCTCTCTCTCTCTGTCTCTGTCTCTCTCTCTCTTTCTTTCTGGGATATGGTGGTGCATGCCTCTAATCCCAGTACTCCGGAGGCTAGGGCAGGAGGATCACAAGTTTGAGGCCAACCTAACCTACATAATGAGACCCTGTCTCAAAAAAAAATAAAAATGCACACATCCTGGACCCTCAATATCAGTCAGTCACAATTTATATTCAGTTTTTGCTCAGTGGTATTATACTGCCCACCCCTTTTTGGCTTATTTGGCTTGTATGAATTGTTTATTCACAATGACAAATATTAAGCTAGAGCCAGCTTAGTGAACCACAACAAAACAGAGTGAATAATGTTTTCCAAGTCTGGTTGGCAATGCTTTCCCTCCCCTGATGACCATAGTATCATTGTACTCTGCTGCCTTTTTCTTGGTCCTTTCTTAGAAAATCAACCCTTTCCAAATCAACCTCCAAAGCCAGAAGCTAAGGAATTGGGTAACTCAGGTGGACAGATGCGAGTCCAGCAGCTCACAGTTGCTGATCTTCTTTTTATCCTTCCTGCCAGTGGATTGGTCAATGGATCACTGGCTTTCAGAAAGCCAAATCCTGATTTTTCAGCCAGCTGTGCACTGACCTCAGCTTCCTGCTCTAACTTCATCTCTAGCAGTTTCTTGATTTCACAGATCCCAGACATACTGGCTCCTCCTGTCTCAAGTCTGGGCTCTTCCTTCTGTCTGATCTCTTTGTCATATTTCTTTCATTCTCTCTCTCCTTTTAAATTTTTTTATTAAAAAAATACTGTACAGTACTGGGGACTGAATCCAGAACTTTCACATTGTGCTACATTTTTAAAATTTTTTATTTTTAGACAAGGTCTCTGGAAGTTTCTAAGTTGCCCCGGCTGGGATGGAACTTGTGATCCTCCTGCCTCTGCCTCCTAGAGTGTTGTGCTTGCACTGTGTGCCTCTGTACTCTGTTAAACATAGCAAGTGGCTCTTTCCCCTATTTCTTGGTAAGGCCAGCACTTTTTCACCCTCGATCGACCGCTTCCCTCTTTCTAAGCCTTCCAGTGTCCCTATCAGTTTCACTGATCATTATTCAAAATTATCTAATTTATGTGTTAGCCTTTTTTGCCACCTGTCTGTCTACCCTTCTAGAATGTAAGCTCCATGTGGCAGGGAGGGGACTGTCTATTTGATCACTGTGGATCCTGTGATGTCTCTAATGACACAGGCACCTAATAAGTGCTCAGTACATTTTTATTAAGTGAACCATTAAATGACCACTCACAATCCAGGGAACCTCCCCACCTGGGTACCCCGGGAGGTAGGGGCTGAATGTGTGTTGCTCTGATTGCAGACAGAGTCCTTCAAGCTGAGTGAGCCTTACAGCCAGTGCACAGAGGATGGGCATGACGTGCCAGTTGAGAACATCTACAACGCTTCCTACTCCCTCCAGGTATGACATGGCAGGGTGGCCCAGACCTGGGTTGAGGCAAGGAGACAAAGTTTCATCTTGCCCAAGGTGTGGCTGGGACCAGGAACTAGTGCAAAGATCCCTGGGGCTCATCCAAAGACCTCAAGAACAAATGATGCTGGCTGGTTCCAGTCCTGTTCAGTCTGTTCAGTCCACGTGTAACGAGAGCTCAGACCGCTGAAGTTAGCATGGAACAGAATGTACAGTCCTGGGACAGGCCTGCCCCCTAAGTAGACCTTGGCAGGTGCAAAGGAGGGTCAGGAGAGGAGCATCTCGGGAGACACTGGCTGAGAGCCCAGAGCTTGACTTCTGGGCCAGTTTGTGTTCCTCACTTGCAGGTGATTTGAACAAGTTGTATCCCCGCCTTGTAGTCACGGGATATTTGGATCTAAGGGGGGTGGCTAATTGGCAACTGCCAGCCTCTCCAGGCTGCACACCTCATTTCCCTAACCTGGATGATATTTCAGGGAATTTCATAAGAAAATACAGATCTCCAGCTTCTTTTGAAGAACCAGGTAATCTGGCAGCGCTGAGTCCAGATTCCTGCAGTGTAGTGGTGGGTGAAGCTGCCCCTTTAAAGCTTCATGGATCCTGCTCTCCACTGTTCTCACCTCACCCCGCAGTGTACTGCGTTCATCACTGACTCCTGCAGATGCTGGAGTTTTCAGCCCTTACGTGTAATGAGCTTTTAGACCAAGTCTCACATCCTGGGAATCTGAAGTTGGTCTCTTACCAGGGTATACACAGGGTCAATGGAAAGCCTTCGGGCAGAATAAAGAACTCCAGCTTCCATCAGAATGGAGCTGATAGGTGGTAGACACACTGAATAAAAAGGGACTATTAGGGACTGTCTGCTTATAGGAACTAGAATCACAATCAAATGAATTTTAGGACCTCTCTTCCCCCCAAAAGAAGTAAGCTCAGTGGAAAGATGCCTATGGGTAATGCCATAACCTACCATGGACACTTCAATATGTTGATTCACATGCTCAGAATTATTTCATGAAGCAGGCATTGTACTTATTTCAAAGAAAGCAAAGTATCAGAGAGGTTAAATGACTTGCCAAGGGACATACAGGTGGTAGGTGGCACACGTGGGATTTAAATTTGAATAGCCTGACTTCAAAGCTCCTGCTATTAGCTTTTATGCTATACACTTCCTGGATCATGTGACAGCCTATGATTCTCAAAGATCAGGGATGGAAGTTTTCTTATTCTTTGCCAGCATTCACATGATAGAAAACAACCATCCTAATCCCAGCTCCACATGATTTCCCTATTTCAGTCTAAATTCTCAATCCCTTTGGAGTCAGGGCACCCGTCCAGATGGCAGAAAGGCACATTGGTACAGTCAGCCACAGAGCAGGATGGTGAGCATCTGCAGCAAGGGATATAGAAGGAGGGCGCTCTCTGGCATCACGTGCTTTCATGGCATCTCTGGATTTCTTCTTTCAGATCTGCCTTTACTCGTGCTTCCAGACAAAGATGGTGGAGAAATGTGGGTGCGCCCAGTACAGCCAGCCCCTACCTCCGAATGCCAACTACTGCAACTACCAGCAAAACCCTGACTGGAGTGAGTGCTACCTGCCCCTAGCCCTGCACACCCCAGCCCTGCACTGATCTGGCCTCAGGCACTCCTGTGCCTTTGTCCCGTTGCCTTTTGCTCAAGGGAGGTATTAGATGCTAACTAGACTTCTACTTCTGTTGTCAAACCTGGCTTAAGTGGTATTACCCAGTTAAGGACCAAAGGCTGCATGCCAAACTGGGGTAACAACTGGGGTGATCACTTCTGTCAACTCCACAGGTAGTGCCCTTTGGCAGAACAGATAACCAGCAAAGGTTAGGTAGTTTTTCCAAGGTTGCTCAGCCAGGGAGTAACAGAGCTGTGTCCCAATGGGTCCCAAGCAGGACAACTTGACCCCAACTCATGTTCTCAACCACCGCCAATACGTTTATTTTCCAACATCACACACCAGTATGTGTATCCAGAGAACCAATGTTTGAAGAAAGTAGAAGGAAAAATAATTAAGACTGTGAAGGGTCCTAGTTAATTCAGGGACTCCCAGGAAAGGCCCAGTAGGCCCCAAATCTCATGCTGCTTCCCCGTGTCTCTCAGTGTATTGTTACTACAAGCTGTACCAAGCCTTTGTTAATGAAGAACTGGGCTGCCAAACAGTGTGCCGCGAAACATGCAGGTGGGTGGACCTGGAGAGGGATGGGATGGGCAGGAATGGGATGAGGCCAGACTGGATGGAGTCAGGCTGCCCATACTCACTCTGTCCCCTCCTCCTCTAAGATTTAAGGAATGGACGCAAACCAGCAGCCTGGCCCAGTGGCCATCTGAAGTTTCAGAGGTAAGTTGTATTGCCCTCTCTATCCCCTGAGCCCTCAGCTGGGACCCTCACTGATGTTCTTTCTGTCTTCAGGCCTTGAGGGTAGCCCAAGGGAGTAAGGCCACTGTCTCACTGAGTCCAGGGAAAAAGAGGGGGGCCAAGGAAGTAGGGAAGATGGAAATCCCCAGGCCCATCTTTCTTTCTCCATCACAGAATTGGTTGCTACGTGTTCTTACCTGGGACCAACGCCAGCAAACAAACAAACAGCTGAACAAGTAAGTCCACCTCCATCCAGTTTCCTCTGCCTCTGTCCACCAAGGGCTCAGCCTCTCTGCTTGTTTCCTCATTGCCAAACCTGCTCCTTTTCATCCAGTCATTTAGTCAACAAATATTTATTGAGCATTTATCATGAACAGGCCCTGCTCAAACTTTTGTTTGATCCTTCCCTACAGTATGAGATGCCTTTTGCATTGTAGCCCATTGAAGACATAATTGAAATAAGACACACAGTAACATTTCATTGTGATGTACAAAGCACTTGGGCTAATTTTCAGATAATACACCTTGGAATGGACAAGCCAATTGTTTACCTTCAGCTTTCAATAGCCTCAGGGGATTAGTTCTGGGATTCCTTCCATGGATACCAAAGAGCTAGGATGTTCAAGTCCCTTACGTAAAATGGCATAGTATTTGCATAAAAGCTACCACATCCTTCACTACATTTAAGTCATCTCTAGATTACTTATAATACCTAATACAAGGTAAATATTTGCAAATTGTCACGATACTGTATTGTCTATGGAGTAAGGAAAAGGCCTCTACTACATGTTAAATGCAATTTTTTTATCCATGGTTGGTTGAAAACATAAATTGAAAACCCACTGCTAAAGAGGAGAGCTGAGGGTTTGCATTCTGATTGGTCACAGCACACGGATTCATTGGTGCCCTTGCCTTTCCAATTGGTAAATATTTTCAAAATCCTTCCAAATGTATTCTGATATTTACTATTCTATTTAGCCTTATAAAAGATACTAGTCATTGTCCTCTGAACTTTGAAGCTTCCGATCCTACTCGACATTTTTTGACAGAGAAAATGATTTTCCATGTGGGAGAGGACAAACTCATATCTAGGACTCACATTTCTCTGGGCTATCACCATACTCAGTGCCTAGTACCAGGGATGCCCCAGTGGGAGCCAATCTTGGCTCCAGCATCAATTGACTGGCCACTTGGTATCAGGTGCAGTATGAGTTGCTGGGCCCCTGGGTGACCAAGTAGTCATGGTCTCTGCTCTAGGGCTTTCCCAGGTAGTGGTAAAGATAGGCTTAGACTAAGCATTTGCAAAACGTTCAACCAAGTATTGTGAATCAGTGATCTCCTGGGCCAAATGTGTCTCTACAAAGCTAACCCATTATTTCTGCCTTTTCCTGAAAGATTAAAAATTCTAGCAGTAGTGAACCTCCATTCTGGCATAGTAGCGAGCAGTTGAGACATAGCTGCTCCTTTAAGATGAGCTTCTGTTTCTATAAGGAAAGAATATAGACCAGCAATTAATATTAGCTGTGCAGATGTGAATATGTTACTTAACCAATCTGGGTCTCATTTTCCACATCTGTAAAATGGAAGAAAGATTAAAATATATCTATTCACCTCACTGAAGGTTTGTAGATTAAGTAAGTCAACATAAAATTTTTATAACAGTGCTTTACAAAACAGGAAGCTCCTAATAAATGCAAACTATTATTATGGTTACTATCTCTACTACTTTACCATCAGCCTACCTTGTTCATTTGCATTACCTGCTGTCTCTCATATGTAGTTGAGATTGCAATCAACAATTACCAAGAACAAAGCTTAATGAAAAACAGCATACTCAGGGAGTATGGCTAGGTACACAGACTTAGCCTGGAGTTGGGAACTCATTGTTGAATGAAAGTTCTGAAAACCAGACTAGAACCAGGAGAGGTGCTCTGAGATATAGAAAAAGCCCAGGGACCAGATTCTCATATCCCTGAGGAGCTCAGAGCCTGGGCTATCTTGAGGGCCTGGTGAGAGGGAGAAAGCCATGCAACATTGCTGGTTTTTCAGCAGAATGTCAAAGCTCCCGACTCACCTGGGCCCTATCTGTTGCAATTTCTGTAGGACAGACTTGGCCAAACTCTTGATATTCTACAAAGATCTGAACCAGAGATCCATCGTGGAGAGCCCAGCCAACAGCGTGAGTGGTGTCCTTCTGGGACCTGTCCTGAGTCTGTGAATGTGCTCATTTGCCTATCCCCTGGGAAGCCAAGTCAGCCCATGGGGATCCAGCCTGACCTAGCAGGGTTGCTAGAAGCCAGCCAGGCCTCAGCAAAGCAAACTAAGTAGAGGGTAGGAGACCTTCAGGTTCCTTCCTCTGAGCCTCTGTAGGGCTAGCCCATGGCTTCCCTGAGAATTGGGGTCACAGCCTGGAGAAGTTATGGTGAGGATCCCTCTTGATGATGTGACATGGCTTCCTTTACAGATTGAGGTGCTTCTTTCCAACTTTGGCGGCCAGCTGGGCCTGTGGATGAGCTGTTCCGTTGTCTGTGTCATTGAGATCATCGAGGTTTTCTTCATTGACTTCTTCTCTATCATTGCCCGCCGCCAGTGGCAGAAAGCTAAGGAGTGGTGGGCCAGAAAGAAAGCACACCCGGGCCCTGAGGCTCCCCCCAGCCAGCAAGGCCAGGACAATCCAACCCTCTATATAGACGAGGACCTGCCCACTTTCACCTCGGCTCTGCACCTGCCTCCAGCCCTAGGGGCCCAGGTGCCCGGCACACCGCCCCCCAAATATAACACCTTGCACTTGGAAAGGGCCTTCTCCAACCAGCTCCCAGATACTCAGGTGCCCAGTGAGCCTTGAGACAGAATTGGGAGGAGAATCTAGTCAGGACTACCAGCCATGGTCTAAGGACTTAGGCCATGTCTTCAGGATGCACAAGACCTCCTGTCTCTGCTCTGGGCTTTTGAAACACTGCCTGAAAGCCTGTTCTGGATAAGACAGAAATGGGTATGGGCAGAAAAAGCTGTTGGGTCTGCCCCAGCAATACAACTGGACAGGATGAGCTAGATCCTGTGGCCTGAACTCGGCACATCCACATGAGAAATACTGCAGGCCAAAGCAATGGTGCTATCTGGGTGAGGGCCCAAAGCGAGCTCAGCTTAGTATTGAGAGAAGAGGACACCTCCAGAGCTCCAAGCCAGGGTTCCACCCATACCCCTGGCCTCACTGGAGCCACAAGATGTGACTTTAGGTAGCAAGGCTAGACAGTTACTAAACCTGATGCCAAAGGTAAAAGAGTTCCAGCCTTGAGGGGCAGCTGTGGTGCCTAAGCTGCCTTGGGTCACTGACATTGGGCCGAAATATCCTCTGCACCTTCAGGCACAGACCTGGCCCTGGGCCCTGGGAATGTGTGTGTTAGGGGTACAGTGGAGGGAGGTATAGGGTGCAGCAGATGGCAGGGGTGGAGCCCTGACCTGGGCAGTGAAGGCAGTTCCCAAGAAGAAAAGGGCCAGTTAAAGAACACGCATGAGCACGCCTGTCCGGTGGTATCCTCATAACCTGACCTCAGTTGCTCTTTTTACTGACCAGCTCAGTAAGCACCGCTGCCTGGCATGGTGGTACACCTGTAATCCTAGCATTCCAGGAGGCCGAGGCAGGAAGGCCACAAATTGGAAAGCACCTGGGGCAATTTACCTACTTAGAGAGACCTTGTCTCAAAATAAAAAAAAGTAAAATAAAAAAGGGCTGGGGATGTAGCTGTTCAGTGAAGGCCTGCGTTTTAATCCCTAGTATTAGAAAGAGACAGAGGCTTTCTACTGCCATCATCAGTGGCCTGCCCCGTGAAAGTGTACCGTGTACCACATTCACACCTTCAGACCTCAGTATCAGCATGGCAGCACTTCTCTAAGTTAGCCTAGGGGACAGCAAACTGTTGCCCGCAGGCTAAATCTTGTTTTTGTTTGTGATCTGAGAATGGCTCCCAACCCCCACTTTTAAATAGTTAAAAAATTTGTGTGTGTGTGTGACTCAAGAAAATGAGATGACATCCAAATTTCTGTATCCAGAAATATAATTTTACTGGCACACTGTCACATCCATGTGTTTGCACACTGTTTATGGTTCCACATGAGCAAAGTTGAATGGTTACAACAGGACCACAAAACCAGCCAAACCTACAACACTTCTTTTCTGGGCCTTTCCATAGGAAAGAAAAAAGCCAACCTCTGGGTCAGCCCAGGGAAGAGGTCTGCCTCTCCCATTTTGTGGGAGGCTCAGGAAGGTTGGCTTACTTCCCTCAGGTGACACAGCCAGGAAGTGCACAGGGATTTGAACCCACACAATCTGACTTCACAATCTGTGGGCATTATCTCGCATCCAATCTGTGTCTGTCTTTTTAAGGGCGAGGCTGATGTTGTTTGGAGTGGGAAGAAGGGAGGCTCGACACCCTAGATTTGTCCTCCACCTCTGGTCTGCATTTCGAAATTAATCCTGCACGGGGATGGGACTGGTGGAGGCCAGAGTCTTCGTGAAAATGACAAGTTATGAGGACCCTCCGTGGGTGTGTGGACCCCAGTTCAACCTGCTTCTCTGGCAGTGGCTGGAGTGGCCATCTCTGCCCCAGGTGGCATTTCCACTGGCCCTTATGGGGAACTGCCAGAAGGCACCCTAGCAGGAAGAAAGGAGTTCGTTATGACCCCTGCTGGTTGGCGCTCCCTTGGGGAGTGGGCTCTGAGGCCAGGCTGGTCTGGGGCCAGCATCGGGTTACAGAGGCACGAGCCTTGTTTCTGGGAGCTTGTAGTAGATGCTCAGCTGGCCACTAGCCACCGAGGAGCTTCCTCCTCCACTGCCCTGGCAGGAGGTGGGTGCAGCGCCCTCAGATTCATGGACTTGACCAGCCTTGGCATGATGTCACAGGCAGGAACATTTCCAGTGAGGCTTCTGCTGGGTGTGTCCAAGGTGAGGCTGCCAGCATCTGGATCATTTGTCAAGGACGAACACCCCTGCTGGCTCCAGCTCTCTCCATTCCTGCCTGGCTTATGCAGTGCCTGGCACTGCCCTTTCTCTTCCGGGCCCCCTGCCCCGCCCCACATCCAGGGCAAGTGCCAGTGGACCACCATTAGGCCTTCCCCAGCCCCAAGAAACTGGAGCTTCTGCCATTATACAATGCTCTTCTCCAGATACTCTTTTTAAAATTATTATTACAGGTTATGGAACTCAAGAGCACTCTAGCACTGAGCCACATCCCCAGTACTTTTTAAATTTTATTTTAGATAGAGTCTCCTTAAGTTATCCAAGCTGGCATTTAATTTGCAACCCTTGTTCCTCAGCCTCTCCAGAGCTGTGATTAAACGGATGTATCACTATGTCTACCTGTGATATGATTTTTGGTTCACTCCTTTATCGCTCTAATTAGACTCTGTGAGGACAGGAGAGGTGTTGACTGAAACAGGACTGAAGACAGAGATGACACTTAGGAAAAGTTTGTGGAGCTAATAAAAACAACACCAATAATAATGACATTTATTGAGTTCTTATTGTTTGCAATAGATTCTGCTAGGCACTTCATATATATCAGCTCAGGCAATTTTCACGGCTCAGGATCTCTTGGAAACAAAGGAATAGAGGGAGAGAATTCTCCTTATAGCCACTCCACTAGTTATTAAAGGGCCCAGAACTGTGGCTAGAGCCTGCGAATTTAGCAAACTGTTTTTCACATAGAAGATTTTCCCCAGATGTCAAGTTGATCTGTCCCTGAGGAAGTCATTTTTGGTCCTCTCTGACTTCAGGTCCAGGATGCTCAACCCAAAGAACTTTCTGTCTCAAGACACAGGAGAGGGGCGTGGAAGAACTAGTGTTGTCCAAGACTACTTTATAAGCAGCCATGATGGCCAGGATCACTGACTCCAATGGACAATAACCAATTACATTTTCAGGTTGTGGGGATGTAAGTCGTGCCTTGATGTACTCCTGTCTTCCCAAAGTATCCAAGCCACTGGCCTCTCTGCTCCTCTGACCTCCCCTTCTGAGGCCTGGGGTCCCATAAATCATCTCCCCATGAGTCAAAGCATCTCAAATCCAACATATTCCTTGTGAATCTGCCCTTCAAGAGGAGATGGTGAATGAAGATTCCTGCCTAGGCTGGGGTTGAAAATTCAGGAGAGGAATCTGAGCCAGAAGGGATATGTGTGGGAGTCACGAAGGTAATGCAAGTCAGGGTGCGAATTAAGTCACCAGTGAGGAAAAGCAGGTCAAAAGAGGAGAGGGTTGAGAATGGAAACTCCAAGTGTAAGCATTTAAGGAGCAGCTAAAGCAGGAGGAGTCTGGGCAGAAGACAGAGCAATAGAGGGCTCCTGGCATTACCAATCTCCCTCTTTACCAGTTTCCATCCTCTGTCCTTACTTCAGGCTGCACCAAGAGGGTGTCTCCAAAGGCTGGACTACATTACTTCCTACTTTGATTCTTCCCCATCACAACAGCTGTTTCAGAAGTTTTAGGACTGCTATAGTTTGGATCTCACATGTCTCTCATAGGCCCACGTGTTTAAAGGCTTAGACATCACCCTGTGGAGCTATTGGAAGGTGGTAGAACAGTTAGGAGGTAGAGATTAGTGAGAGGAAATTATGTCATCGGAGGTGTGGCCTTGAAGGAGATGCTGGAATTCTAGCTCCTCCTCTTCTATCTTTGCTTCCCAGCCTCAGTGAAGAGAACTGCTCCCCTCTATCACCTGCTCCTTGCTATTATGTATTTACTGTGTTGTCACAAACCCAAAGCAACAGGGCTGAGCAACCAAGGGTTAAAACCTCTGAAAGCATGAATAAGCTTCCCTCAGAAAACTGTTTATCGCAGGTATTTTGTCACAGCAATAGGAAGTTGACTAACACAAGGGCTCATTCTGCAGTGATAATTTTCAGTGGCATTTAGACTTAACTGCCATGCCAAACCCTGCTCTTTTTTCTCCACCCATCCTCCATTCATTTATTCATCATTCAAGATCAGGTCTAAATGTCGCCATCTTTATATGGTGTCTCCTTGGCCCTGAGAGTTTGGAATACTATGCATCACTAACTGATAGAATGAACAAATCATTCCAATTTCTAGTGAGCAAAAACAAAGTCCTAGGCTGGTGCCTGGGTCTTAACTCTCTCTAATCCTGGCAACTGTTGTATAACAAGGAGAGAGCTGCTTCAGAGCCCCTAGCTCTTCAGCCAGATCAAATTTAGCAACATCATTTTCCACTGCACTTGCTTTCTTGGTAAACTTTAGCTTGTGTAAAGTAAGCCACCCTGGTGTTTTCTTTAATCACATTCAAATTCTTATTTGGTCAACAAATATTTATGGAGCATGGTATGAGTTTCCTGTGGCTGCTGTAACAAATTACCATAAATGCAGTGGCTTAAAACAACATGAATTTCTGCCCTTATAGTTTTGGAGGTCAGCACTCTGGAATGAACCTTACAGGGCTTAAGAAGCCAGCAGGGCTGCACTCCCTGCAGAGGCTCCAGGGAAGAATCAATTTCCTCAATTTTCCAACTGCTAAGAGCTGATTTCTTGGCTCCTGACACCTTCTATTGTTAAAGCCAGCATAGTTGCATCTTGCTTCAGACATCATGTGGACAGCAGATGCCACCAAATCTCCGTCCACCTCCTTTTTCTAAAGGATATTTGTGCCCAGTGTAGTGGTGCACACCTATAATTCCAGCGCTCAGGAGAGTGAGGCAGGAGGATGGCCATGACTTTGAGGCCAGCCTTAGCTAAATAGGCAACTTTAAGGCCACCTTGTACTACATAATGAGACCCTGTATAAAAAAAAAAGATATTTGTAATCACATTTAAGACCACTCAGATGTTCTTCC